AGCCAGGATGGTCTCGATCTCCTGACCTCGTGATCCGCCCGCCTCGGCCTCCCAAAGTGCTGGGATTACAGGCGTGAGCCACCGCGCCCGGCCGCCATTTTTTTTTTTAAAGGCACAGGGCAGACATGGCTCTTCGGTAGGTTCTGGGGTAGGGGCTAGAAGAGCCCGTGATATGAGGGGAGGGGAGGCCGAAGGGGAGTCTGAGGTCAGGAGCCTTGAATCCCAGGGAGAGGCTAGGGCCTGGACTCAGGGGTCCCTGGGAGCCACAGGAGGCTGTAGAGTAGGGGCGGAGCCAGGGAAGGAAACTCTGAAGGAAACAGGGCCGTGCCCTGAACACACGTGGAATCCGGGTGCTCGCTGAGTCACAAATCCTGGAAGCTCAGGGTCGTGGAGAGGAAGCCCTGCCGCTCTATGCAAGGTCTTCCTGTTTTTGGAGGAGGCAGGCACTCCAGGGCCGATCGTCTCGAATCACCTTCACCTCTGGGGGCTCAGAATCCCTGAGCCACAAAGCTGGGGCAGGGCTGGGGGATACCCCTGCTGCTCAGACAGGGAAATGGGCACGGAGCTTGCCCAGTACTTCCCAGAAGGACGAGGCTGCTGAGCTTCTCATTCGGGGCTCCGGGACCTGGACTGTACCCCTTTCTGGTAGGGGGTGCCCTGAACTGAGACCTTCAGGCATGGAGGGCGGGGGCTCAGAGGTTGAATTCTGCTTCCATGTCATTACCTGGGTGGGAGAGGGCCTCCACTCCACACACCTAGAAGTTTCTGCAAAATTACCTTGAATGGGAGTGAGAAGCAGGCCCCCTTGAGAGGTAGTGAGGCGCCTGTCATGGAGGTATGCAAGCGGAGGACGAAAAGGCTGGACTTGAGAAGGAGGTCAGACCTCCAGGGTCACAGAGGCCCTTGGCATGGGGAATAGTCTGTGACTCTGTAGTTATGTAGTACTGTCTTTCCCAGCTTGTGGCATTTTTTTGTTTGTTTTTGGTTTTTTTTTTTTTGGATGGAGTCTTGCTTTGTTGCCCAGGCTGGAATGCAATGGTGCGATCTTGGCTCACTGCAGCCTCCACCTTCTGGGTTCAAGGGATTCTCCTGCCTCAGCTCCCCAGTAGCAGGGATTACAGGCATATGCCACCACGCCAGGCTAATTTTTGTATTTTTTTTGTAGAGACGGGGTTTCGCTATGTTAGGCAGGCTTGTCTTGAACTCCTGACCTCAGGCGATCCTCCCACCTCGGCCTCCCAAAGTGTTGGGATTACAGGCGTGAGCCACTGCACACAGCCAGCTTGTGGCTTATAAAATTCCAACTGTCTTTGACTTTTTTTTTTTTTGCCTTTGAGTTTAATATTTTTGTGTTTTAATTCGAAGGATTTTTATGCGTGTATTTTGAGATTGCATTTTTAAATGTGTGTTTTAGGATATTGGTATCTATTATAATTATTATTATTAGTTTTTAATTACTGAATGCATTTTTGTTTGAAGTCATTTCCTGGGCTTTCACGCACACGTGACCATAAAGCTGTTCTGATAATTAAATCAGTGCTGTGTATTATTATTATTATTGCCACTATTGTTATTATTAATTATTATCCCCGGGGGGCAATTTTTCTGGGATTTGAAGGAGCGGCTGAGGCTCTCGCGTGCCCTCTTGTGGCCGCGAGTCGGACTGCAGGCCGCTCACCTCGCCGCCCCTCACCCGCAGGCGTCACCTCCTGTCGCCTCGCCCTCGCCATGCAGACCCCGCAAGCGTCCCCTCCCCGCCCGGCCCTGCTACTTCTGCTGCTGCTACTGGGGGGCGCCCACGGCCTCTTTCCTGAGGAGCCGCCACCGCTCAGCGTGGCCCCCAGGGACTGTGAGTCTGGGGTTATCTTGCGGGGGGTGGAGTCCCGTGGGAGTGTCTGGGTTCCCGGTTGGGTCTGCTGCCCCCACTGGGGGACTCAACCAGTTCAGGAGACACCCCTAGAAGGGGCATGACCTCGAGTCGCCCTCTCTTCACCCCCAGCCCTTGCTCACACCCCTCTCCACCCCCTCACTCAGACCTGAACCACTATCCCGTGTTTGTGGGCAGCGGACCCGGACGCCTCGCCCCCGCAGAAGGTGCTGAGGACCTCAACATCCAGCGAGTCCTGCGAGTCAACAGGACGCTGTTCATTGGCGACAGGTATTGCTGGGGACAGCGAGGAGGCCTGTGTGACTGGAGCAGAATGAGCGAAGGGGAGAGAGAGAGGAGGGGAGTGCAGGGAGGGGACGGGACAAATCGTGCAGAGCCTGTTGGGTCATTGGGAGGACTTCGGCTTTGACCCGGAGGAAGGTGGGAGCCACGGAGGGTTGTAGGTAGAGGAGGACTGGACCTGACTCAGGTGCTCACACGCGCCCTCTGGTGGCTGCTTCTGGGAGGGGGCGAGAATGGAAGCCAGGGGACCAGGGTGGAGGGGACTGGGCTTTCCAGGCTGGCTGTGATGAGGCTGGACCAGGTGGAAGCTGTCGTGGGGAGAAGCGAGTGTGAGATTACGGGGCTTCTAGGGATGGGCATCCCAGGAAGGAGAGATGCCGGACAGATCAGATGCTTTGGAGAGAATGAGGAGGATGGAGAAGTGACCACTGGGCTTAACCACACAAGGTCACCAATGATGTTGAGCAGGGCGACTTCCTCGGCATGGGTGTGACCGGGGAGAGACTGGTGGGCGCCTGGGAGGCGCCGAATGGGGCACCTGGCCTAAGGCCATGGGACGAGGTGTTGGGGGCAGCCCGTGGGGCGTGTCGGGCAGGAGGTGGAGGGCAGGGTATGAAGTCCTGCTGGGGCCCTTAGTAGGGGTGTGGTCGGCGCTGGAGTTGCTGGTGTCAGAGACGTTGGCATGTGCCTGCGTGCCCCCGTGTGCACGCCACATTGGCAGTGGGAAGGATGGAATGGGAGAGAGCGGTGGAGCCCCCATGTCTCACTAACTATGCCCCTCCCCCAGGGACAACCTCTACAGGGTAGAGCTGGAGCCCCCCACGTCCACGGAGCTGCGGTACCAGAGGGTGAGGAAGGGGTGCAGGTGGGAGTGGAGGGGTAGGGCGGGGGGGCTTGGCACTGCACCGCAGGGCTGGGTGAATTCGGCCGTGCATGACGGGGTCACTTAGGGCTGCTGGGACCCGATACCCCCTCACCAGCTCTCTGTCTGCAGAAGCTGACCTGGAGATCGAATCCCAGCGACATAAACGTGTGTCGGATGAAGGGCAAACAGGAGGTGAGTGAGCCCTGGTTGGGTCCCAGCCCCCGCAAATCAGCCCTGGCGTTACCCATGCCCCGCCCCAATCAGGCCAGGCCACGCCCACTCCGCCAGCCCTGGCCACGCCCCAACCCACCTCCTGTCAGCCCTGGCCACGCCCAACCGCCAGCCCTGGCCACATCCCCAAACAACCATGGCCACGGCCACGTCCCCACTCAATTGGTCCTAGCCCGGCCCCCAACCTAGCTACAATTAGCTATAACCACGCCCCAAATAGTTCTGGCTACGCCCACACCTCTGCCCCAGTCAGTCCTACCACTACCCCCATTCTCGTTCCAACAAGCCCAGGCCATGCTCACACCCCACCTAATCGCTCATACCCCACCCAATCGATCAGGTCCCCATCCCGACCCCTACCCTATCAGCCCTGCCCGCCCCACCCCGCCCCTGGCCCGCCCCAATAAGCCCAGGCCATGCCCACCCCACCAACTCTGGCCATGCTCCCAACCTGGCCCCAATCAGCCATAACCATGCCCACCACGCCCCAGTTAGTTCTGGTCACGCCCATGCCCCACCCCAGTTGGCCCCGGCCACACCCAGGGCGGATCCTTCTCCTCCTCCATCCCAGGTTGGGACTCTGCTGTTGCCATGGTTATGCCCACAGTCTGAACATGCCCACAATCCTGGCTTTGCCTGCACTGCTGATACAAAGTGTTACCCTGTCTGGGCCGCACCGTGTCCCCAGCCAGTCCTAGGTTCAGCCCCTGCCTTGACCCCAAGGAGGGTCCCAGACTTGGCCACGCACACCACAGACCAGCCCTCCACCCACAAAGCTCAGGTTCTGGCCACGCCTGTGACCATGAGCACGCCCACATCGTGCTCCCCACTTCCTCCTGTCCCCACCCCAGGGCGAGTGTCGAAACTTTGTAAAGGTGCTGCTCCTTCGGGACGAGTCCACGCTCTTTGTGTGCGGTTCCAACGCCTTCAACCCGGTGTGCGCCAACTACAGCGTGAGTCTTAAGACTCCCTGCGCCCCAGGTCCAACCTCCAGGCCTCTGCTCGCCCGACCTCTGCTGGCCATGACTTTTCCCCAGGCCATGTCACCTCCTCCAGGAAGCCTTCCTGGATATACTCTCCCTGCCTCCTGCCCCTGAGCTCAAGAGGAGTCACCGCTGTCCAAACGAGGCCTGTACAGGGTGCCAGGGAAGCCATAGCTACTTAGACAATGAGCCAGTTGCAGGTCTAACTAGAGATCGACTCTTAAACCCATTTACAGATCAGTAAACTGAGGCCCTGAGAGATTAAGTGAGTGGCCAAGGTCACACAGTAATCCATGGTGGACCAGGATTCCCCCTAGAGTGGGGGGCTGAGGGAGCCAGGGGCTGCTAGGCGGGGTCAGGAGATCTGTCACTCAGCCCCCATGGTCCCTGCAGATAGACACCCTGCAGCCCGTGGGAGACAGCATCAGTGGTATGGCCCGCTGCCCGTACGACCCCAAGCACGCCAATGTTGCCCTCTTCTCTGGTAAGTACCCCCCCAACCTCCATCTGATCAGCCCCAGCCAGAGGCAAGACCTAGCATTTTCTACTCCAGCGTCTGGGTCATTTAGAAGGCAGCTGGATGGCCACTCATCCCAGCTGTGACGTGGGCAGACTCTTAGCCCAGGTTTGGGGCTCAGCTGGGATTGAGGCTCAGCAGGGCTCGGGGCTTAGCCAGGGTCAGGGGCTCAGTTAAGGTCAGGGCTTGGATGGAGGTGGGGCCGGGATGGGATCAGGGCTCAGCCTGGAGACAGGGGCTCCCCTAGGCTCAGGGTTCAGTCTCAGAAAATCGAGTTTCGACCCACCCAGCCCCTGGCCTCTGCGGTCTAATCTCTTGCCTGCCTTCCCCACCCACCCCATCCAGACGGGATGCTCTTCACAGCTACTGTTACCGACTTCCTAGCCATTGACGCTGTCATCTACCGCAGCCTCGGGGACAGGCCCACCCTGCGCACCGTGAAACACGACTCCAAGTGGTTCAAAGGTGAGACCAGGAAGAGCAGTGGGCCCAGACCTGGCAGGGCCCAGAACCTGACATTTATCAAATCCCCCCACCAGAATAAGAGTCCCAGAGGAGCTTGGTGGGAGGATTTCCACCACATCTTTGGAATCTGTTGGCCTTTTTGAAGGCTGGAAAGCTAGAGGAACAAGTTTAGTTGGATCTAAAGTAGAACCTGCTGGAAGTGGGTGGCTTAGAAGCCCAAAATGGAACCACAGAAAAGATACAGCAAGACTCAGCTCTTCAACGCATGAGGGAGGAAGATAACAAAAAATAGTTGATGTTGCCATTTGCAGCAAGAGACACAGCGATTTTAGGCTCTTCTGACCTCCCTTCCCCTGCAAAAAACCAAACTTTGAGTCTGTTTCATTTTGCCTGGGTAACCAGCCTAGGTCCCCCCTTCACCATAAAAGCCAGTGAGTTCTTAGCCCCAGAAATTCCTTTTGTCATGTCAGGGGCTGAGTTCTGACCCCTCCTCTCCTGCAGAGCCTTACTTTGTCCATGCGGTGGAGTGGGGCAGCCATGTCTACTTCTTCTTCCGGGAGATCGCGATGGAGTTTAACTACCTGGAGAAGGTGAGGCCAGTGCAGTGGGGCATGGAGTTGAGAGGCTGTGATCATGCAAAGTAGAGGGGGCAGAGGTGGATCCATGAATGCCTACATGGGGCAAGAGGGTCCTGCCCTCCATTTCTGGTTCCCAGGGCCTCCCTTCCAGCCATGATCAGGCCCCGAGCCTGAAGGCATCTACAGAGCAGCCGTGGAGCACTCAGTCCTGACGACGGACTTGAGTTGGAAGTCAGATACACCTGGTGCTGTTGCTGTTCACCTGTCCACCCACCCAGCCACAATCACCTATCCATCCTTCATCCCCTGTCCATCCGTCTACCTGCTCACCCTCCCACTTACCCATCTGCCTGTTTTTCAGCCCACCCACACTTTCATGAATCCATTAATCCATCTACTCATCCACCCACTACCCATCCATCCATCCATGCACTCATCCATCTGTCCACGCATCCATCCACCCATCAGTTCATCCAACCACCCTTCCATCCTATCCGTCCATGAGTCCATCCCTCAGTCCGTCCATCTATCCACCATCTATCCATCCATCTGCCAATCCATTCATCCATCCGTCCATCCCATCCACCCATCCATGCACCCACCAATCCATCCATTTATCTACCCATCCATCCATCCATCCATCCCTCCATCCCTCCATCCCATCCATCCGCCAATCCATCCACCCATCCATTCATCCATCTACCTGTCCAGTCACTCATCCATCCATCATTCATCTATCCATCCATCTGCCAATCCATCCACCCATCCACCCTTCCATCCCATGCATCGATCCATCTCATCCACCCACTCATCATCTATGCACCCACTTATCTATCCATCCATTTATCTGCCCATCTACCCACACACCCATCCATCCATCCATCCATCTATCCATCCATCCATCCATCCATCCACTCACCCATCCAACCATCCATCCATCCCCCCATCCAGCCCCCCACTTATCCATCCATCCATCCACTCACCCATCCAACCATCCACCCACCCAACTCACCAATCCATCCATCCATCCA